TTTCCTCCATCAATCGCAGCATTTTCTGCTGGTAAACCAAAATAATGAGTTCCATCCTATTGGATGCAAAACCTGTCCAATGTGCATTGAACCCAGAGTGAACCGGATGGATAAGGTCTTGCTGTGTTTCCATGTGGTTCTTTATGTCTAGTTCTCGGTCTTTCCTTTCCATATTCCTTGAACCCGTGATGAGTCAGAATAACACTGTAATGTACAAAAAGAGTTCATTTAAACTGAGGCCAGTCTTAAGCAATAAGCATTATAATAATCTTGATAAAGAACGAGGAGGATTGGTCGGGATTGATCCTTCTTGTAAACCACACCCACCTAAACAGCTGACTGAGCTGAGCCTGATATGATAGCCTGAGCTAGATCATGTAGATTGAAGTTTGAGTTTCCCTTTTATATTACTGTAGTATTCTCTTGTAATAATAAATGAGTGGAGCATTCACAAATGAAAAGTGGATTAAAACTTTATTTCAGAGTTAGATCTATTGTATCATGGCCTCTTCTCTGTTTAAAATTTAGCATTAATGGAGATCGCAAGACCTCTCTAAAATAAAAGAGGCAAAAAATTACAAGTTCTATCTAGATACCTTCAATTCATGTATTGTAGTCGGCATTACATACTTGGGACCAATAGATAAGGCAGAACAGACCCCCAAAAAACAAATCAGTATAGCTATATTGATACATTGGAACTAAAAATCAGTATCAGTGAGTAAATCATAGTATCATGCGCTATCAATGTATGATTACTCTTTCTTGCTATTTTAACAAATAAAACTCACTTTCCCTGAATCAATGAACGCCCATTAGAAATATTCCAGAATAATAATTTGAAGAACAATAGGTGCAAAACCAATTAAGAATAATTTGGGAATAATGGGATGAACTTAAAAATAGTAGAAGGGATTTTAACAAAAATAGATGTAAAAGATGGGCATGTGTTGGTTCAAACATTTAGTGCTGCTGCTGCTTGTACTATTTATAGCTCAATGATTCATTCAAATCTCAACAATCATTTTTAGAAATAGATAATATTAAGTTTAAACTTCAATAATAGAGAATTATATTGAGAATAATAGGTAGGTATTGCAGGAATTAAGGAATAGAATTATAGTTAAATATTCAACCCAAACCTAACGCCCATGGGGTTAACATCAGACTCAAATTCTTAAAAAACTGCATTCTCTGAAATGCATTCATATCTTCACTCTCACCACACTGTTTCATGTACCTGGTATCTGTAGTCAGCAAAGCCACAATTAAAGTAACTATAAATTTCTATTACATACTGAGATCTTATATCTACACTACAGTACAAGTTCAATTTTTGAGTGCTTGAAATTAAGTTTTGTGTTACCGCAAGGAAATGTGCTCAAAAAAATATATTTGTGTGAGCTAGCTAATTTTCATGTTCTGGCCACAGTCTACGTACAATAAACTCAGTGAAACTATGAAGATAGTGGATTTAATGTGTATGCAAAATTAGTGGAAATTAGCACACAGTGAAAATTAAGTAACATGCATATCATGCATACAATATTGCTCCAGAAGTAAACAATGCTAATGTCCATGCAAATAAAGGACCTCCAAATCGTGTCATGCACTACAGAACATTCTTTGAGTAGCCAATGAAGAGATAAAAGGCCTCATAATCTTCAGTTTGGCTATAGCATAATTATTTTTAGTATAAGTATTACTAGTGTTGTTTTAGTTAACAATAATTATAACTAAAAACTAAAATCTACTTTAGTGAGCTGTTTTCCTTAACTAAAACTAAAACTAAAATTCAAATTCCTCAGTGCTTGTAACTAAACTAAAACTAAAACTAGTACTAATTAACTATAACTAAAACTAAAACTTCAATTGTGCGTTACATTAACTAAAACTAAAATTAAATTATTGGAAAGAGTTTAGTAAATTAAACTATAACTAAAACTAGAAGCACTGGAAGAATAAAACAAAAACTAAAATGCAATTTTGAAGTGATAACAATATCTAAAACTAAAACTTAAAAATAAAAGATAGGAAACTAAAACTAAAACTAAAACTCTTGTACTATACTAAAACAACACTAATTCAATAGTATTACGTATAAAAATTAGTAAATTGATCAATAATATGTGTTTAACTTTACCATAATTTTGACCAGTATAGCAAGTATAAACTCAAAATAATAAATTTTGACAATACGTAAATTCACAATAAATGAATGACTGCTGCCTAAATTAAAAGATGTTTCATACATAAAGCTGCATCTCCTGGAGGCCGGGGGGATAAGAGAAAGAAAATTCCTAGTCCAGAGAAGCAGAATAGGAGCCCACAAAATAAATTCTGTCAGATTTTTTGTGGTATTGGATACATATAGTATAGATTCACTATGCAGGTATAGCTACAGTATACTAACTGCATCAGTTACTTAGAGCTTTAATATACTTGGCTTAAAATACAATTGTCAAGTATACCAGTCAATGGTATGATGTACTGCTTGCAGACCAAGTGGTTACAGGGCTTGCATTATTTATTTTGCATTCATCACATCATACATAGATACTGTAGTACATGATAGTGTATCCATTTTCAATGTATGGAGTTGGGTATACATGTACTGTCTGTAATCCTTATTGTATATAACAAGAGCTTAATATAATACTGATGAAACGCATTGTAGACATAATCCTCTACAGCAGTTTTATGAGAATCTGTACAAGGCAATGTGTTACTAAAAATAGAACAAATTTTATTCTCCATATCTGGAATCACATTACAACAGTAGAATGCTATAATTATGTGTTAGTATATACTGTACTACCATTATACTGCTTGTAACATGATGATAGATAACGGCATTCTTAATTATCACTAATTACTGGTATATTGTGCATTCTTCAACACAACTTCATCAAGTAAAACTAAAGCAAAATCATGCATACCTACCACCAGCAGTATATAGCAATACAGTTTATCTGTTTAAATAGGAGTTTTTTATACACTACTTCATTTAACAATACTTCCTTCATCTAACATTTGCTACAAAAATTAATACAACGATATCTAGTCACTACTGTTACTGTTCAGTTACGACAAGGAGCTGGTAGATCTTTACCATCAATCCCCATAGCCTCACATGCCATTCTGAGAAGTTTGGCTTTACATACAACAGAGCAGTCAGGTTCTGTGCAAGGATCTAAAAAATATATAAGTTATTGGAACAGTTGATAGTCATATCTGTGGTTGTACCTGGTGGTATATGATTCAGTGAAGTTATGTATGTCCCTGGTATGTTGCTATTAGACATCATATTGGGAATACTTGCAACATCAGTACCAATTGGAAAAAAAGAACGTTGATATACGCTTGTACCATTAATAATTGAACCTATTCCAGTAAAAGCTGTTCTAAGGTGCACATTGACATAAAGAGCAATGCCAAATGTAATGTTTTGATTAGTTGCAACTATTACTTGGAAGTTACTGCCCTAATAATAATGAATAAAATCATAAGAGTGTAGTGTAGCTATCTATTGTTTAACAGTATTTCATGTACTAAGTAATTATTATACTAACTGTGTCTGTGTCAGTTTTTTGATAATCTATCCATGTTGCTATTATTAATCGTGAAGGAGGAGATGTACTGCAGAAAGTATTAGGAAATCCTTCATTAATCTGATTCATCGCTCTCTTGATCAATACTGCATCATTAGTAGACCTACCATAAATCTTAGTATTCGAAAAATCACCTGCTAACTGGAGCAGTAACAAACGAATTATATCATCACCATCATTTAGAATATCCAGTTTCCCATTATGTGAAATCTATAGATAATAATAAGTAAATTTTATAAACAAAGAAATGATAAATAAATTGTATTAGTTATTAACAGATGATGGTTTGTGTACAATTGCACTACATTCTACAGTCTCTACATAATGTGAGTGTGTCTATGTTTGTTGTTGGTATAGGTAACTCTAGACTGCCATTGTCAATCTTTAATTAATGTACCAAGAAATTATTTTTTTTAATCAAAATTAATTTTGGTGATAAAGGATTAATATTAGTGCTGATGCATGCACATTATTATGTAACATAGTCATAGTGTAAGTAAGAACTTCTAGACTCTGAGGTTTTATGTATTGTGCTTCTTAATATGATAGATAGTTGATGATAGATATTGATAGATTAATAGATAGTTACATAGTTCTCCTCAGTTCTTAGTAAAATAATCTAACATGTATGTATGTATGTGTGTGTGTAACTCTTGGTGTAACTATATATACTAACTTCATAACTTGTTCCTGTAAGCCCAGCTGGACTAAATCCAACTAAATTATCAATTGGAGGTTCTATTGACACTTCAGGCAGATCAGTTCCATTACTCATGGTGTCCCCATGTTCTATTCCATATGGGTACAAATCAGATAGTGTTAGAGCATTTGCATACCATGTACTCAGTATAACCTGTAAAGATATACAATACCCTATCATATATATTGTATCTTACTAGTATTGCTCCAGTTAGTAGTACTGATCCCATTCTATTGATAGTTGCTTTTTCTCTTTTGCAATGAGTTGTCTAACACTTTATACCAGTATCATCATAGAAGCCACAAAGTATGTAATACACAGAAACCAGTAAAGGGCCATTGAAGTGTAGACTCACCTATAGTTACAAACTTACAATACAGTATGTATGTTCACTAATTGCATGTAGCCATCACAGTGTTACCACTCTCTATCAATCCTACATATATTTACTGATGTGTGTGTACATAATATAATACACTATACAATTTGTAATATCAACTGTATTCAGGTACATGGTGTTACAAAATACTTTGTGATAATTAATAACTTGTATTATGTTTGCATTCTTCACTAATCCTTCAAAGACAGTAATTGACTCAAATATCGAAATAGCCTGTTGCCCAGATGGCAGATGGTCAGACTCAATGGCCAAAATAATATCTACTATACTTGCTCTTTTATAATAATGACTGATGTCTAAAAAATGTTTCATGAATAGCGTTTTTTAGCTCCCATACATCCTTGAGGCCAGGAGGAGCAGAGATAGAGGCAACCCCTTGTCCAAAGTCAAATAAGACCACACAAATTCAACTCATGTCCTTTTGGGACTGAATGTGTAGACTCATGCAATATCCAGGTATACATTATACTAATTAACTGCATTAGTTATTTACTTACATCTACAGTCCACTAAAAAAACTTCCTTAATATTATGTTTGGCTTATAATACAATTTTCAAGATACCTCTAAATGGTATGACTGTAAATGTACTGTTTTTATATAGACCAAGTGGTTACAGTGCTTGCATTATTCACTTCACCTTCATACATACATGTACATGTACTACAATTACATGATAATTTATACTATTCTCAATGTAAGGTGTCAAGCATAAATATATGTACTGACAATATTTGCAACAGTAAATGTTATGTGTAAGAAACTATAATTATTCCTGAAACATCATTATCTATCATCATATGTTACAAGCAATATATGATAATACTGTATGTACTTATATGTACATGCCTTTTAAAAACTGACCAATCAAATTATCGTTGTTAGAACACACTATATTGCCATTTACTGCTTGCAACATGATGATAGATATTGGTATGACTTCTTAATTGTCACTAATTACTGGTATTGTCAATGTTTGCATTCTTCAACACTAGTACCACTTCATCATAAACACGTGAAGTACATTCATGTCCACCTACCGTGATTGCAACAAATGTAGTGTATAATACAGCTCATCTGATTAACCGGGATTTTACCTTTTACATAGCACCTGATGTACTGTCTTCTAGTTCATTTTATAATCAAAGTCTGTCACAATCTCTTTTAGACACTCTCTCCCTTTCTTTTCCTTTTCTTGTCTAATACAAAAATCCTTATTTAAAAAATCCATTACAAAATAATGATAAGATTAATAATTCATAGCAAACTAGTGTTAAAACAAAAGTGAATTCATCCCTAATTGAAAACAATAATAGTCAAGAAAAACAAAAAGATGATAAAATAGAATGCCATTAGTCATTACAAAAAATGGTACATCTACATCATTGATCCTCAAAGCCTCACATGCCAACTGAAGTATCTAAAAGATATTCAAATTATATTGAACAGTTGATACTACTACAGTCACCTGGTGATATAATCATTCAGTGACAATATATACGCATATGTCCCTGGTTTGGTAGTATTGGACATCATACTGGAAGCATTCATGATAGCAGTACCAAATGGAAAGGAAGAAGGATCATCTTCTACAAACCACCATTAATGTCTGAACTTGTTCCAGTGCCATCAGCTGATGTAATACTTACATAAACATCAGGGGAGAAATATTAAATTCCATTAGTTATAGTCTTTTCTGAAATATCAAATGGTAGTTTGGTTAGGTATACTACCTATATGGCTTCCATTTACCAAACCAACTTTTGGTAATGGTAACATTAGCTGAGCCTCAGCAGACTGAGGGACTACCCCACCAATTACAGTACCTGAGAATTATTTTTAAATTCAGTATTTATAATTATTATTTGCACAAAACTCAAAAGTTATAATTATCAATCTTATTCCAGGACAAAATAACAAGTAAATCGCAGAGTTTCAGACTGAAGTCTTATCTGACGAATAGATCTTCATGTAGTATTCCTCATTCTTTTTTAGAAGAACTTCTTTTTCTAAGTTATCTTTTGCAAGTCGATTTCTGCGACCAGAAGTAGCAATGCCAGCTGTAGAAAATGTACGCTCTACAGGAGCAGATGAAGAAGGAGCAGCAAGGATATCAATAGCAAATGGGGCCAAGAATGTGTAGGACTCTTTAGACTGAATCCAAAACAATATCGGATCACTGTCAGGATCGTACCTGGTCCTAGCAGTAGTGTGTATATAAGAATCGAGCTGCAGCTCTGGTAAATTAGGTTGCCTCTTAGCTACCTCTTTTTTTTCAGTAGCTTTCTTATCCATTATATCAAATACATATCGAAACCGTTTATTAGCAGGTTCATCATCACTCTC